CTCAGGGCCCCCCGGGACCCCCCGGAGCCCCTCAGAGCCCCCCGGGACCCCCCGGAGCCCCCGCAGCCCCGGGGCCCGCCTGCTGCCTGCGCTCACCCGCCGGTCCCGGGCGCTTCCCCTTCTGTTCCCCTCGCGTTCGCCCTTCTCTTTTTTCTGCCTTCTTGTTCCTGTGGAAGGGGACCCGAGGCCTCACGCCGTGGAGGACGATTCACTGGGTGCTCCGTGAGCGGAGAGGTGCCTCACGACGGGACAAGGACACCCCGCTGCAGCAGCGGGGTCTCTCGGTGGCTCTGGCTCTGTCACGCTTTGCACTGGTGAATAAAATGACATTGATGCACACGGGTTTACCGGGCAGTAACAGCCTGGTAGTAAACTGGCCCGCAGCTCAGAGGCAGGGTAGCCTTTCTTGTTGATGGCTGCTTTGGAAATACCTGCCTGGCCTCTTTTCAGGTCCCCCCCAGGTGTTCAGTTTCTGGGCTCTTCACCACACGCAGAGCATTATAAAAATTAAACTGCGTTAGGCTGCACCTAGAGACACCTGAGGAAGATGAAGGAAGAAGGAAAGCCATGCGAGAGCATTGTCTCCATCCTCCGGAGGGCAGCAGGACACAGTCAGTCCATACTGCCCTGACAGAGTGATCAAAACAATAACAAAAGCAAAAAAAATGCCAGACTGGCTCATGCCACGTACTGGTGTAACCACATTACGTGTAATTGGAGTTGCAGAAAACTGTTATGCAGCCCCAGAGGCTAATATGCTCACCAGGCTATTACAGGCTTTCTGCTTTTTGCCTGCCTTCTCCTCACAGAAAACTGTGTGGCTCTAATTTGACTGTCATGGAAAGGAAGACTGAAACAAGCAAACAAAAAGCAAAGACAAGAGGAAGGGTTGAAACAGAAGAGTGTTAGGAAGGAATGTACATGACCTTCAGGGGCAGCAACCAGCAGAGGTTGTAAGATAATACTGAAAAGAAACATCTCCTGAGTCATGATGTGGTCGTAAAAGTCCTTTTCAAATATGTTAAATGATAAATAAAAAGCCAAGAGCAGTATAAATTAGGGGCTTAAGTAGTAACTGAATATCAGACAAGGCGTGATCAGACCTTCCCTGGAAAACTTCACTGTTTCTTTGGCTTTTTAAAGCACAGTGAAGGAGAGGATGGAGACTAATTAATTCCTATGGCCTTTAAATCCCATACAACTGGCACCCAGAATCACAAAGCTGGCTTGAATTTATATACTTACAGAAATGTAATAGGTTCTTTTAATTTGCTTTATGTGCAACCACAAGGACTGGAAACATTTTTCTCCTTTACACTGAAGTTTGTAATTTTCCTTCACCTGGTGTATGGTTAGAAAATGAAAAGGAAAGGCATGAAAATAAAAAAAAATGTATCTCTGATGTCATTACACCCCATCTTTTATTACTTGAACCTCAATAAAATACTCCACAAAGGCATTTCTTCCCAGTACCTGACTGTGATGCAAATTCACCCAGTTATCCAGACAGACCTGTTGTTGTTCCCTATGACATTCTATCTGCTAAATACCCATTAGGTTTAAAAGAAGTCCAAAGAAGAGCACAGTCTAAACAAGAAAAACCTCCCTTCCCTCAGATCTTTAGATTTTGTACTTGCAAAACTCTAGCAGGTTCAGCTTTAGTCTTTGTTTTCTCTTTCCCGCTCTGTTCTGATCTGTAAAGGTAACCAAGTCCTGACTCTTGGTCCAGCTGCTTTGAACAATCCTGTCTTGATTTTTCAATTTCATTAATCTTGCTCCCATGAAACTGAGCTAAAGAGCTTCCTCCATTTTTGTAACCACATGATTCATTTCACTGTTCATCCTGACTTCTGACAACATCAGACTAGGTCACCACTGAAAATGTAGCAATAGGTTTCATTGTATCTTTTATCATTTGTTTTTTCTTCTAACAAGAATTAAAAACATGATATGGGCTGTAACAGCAACAGCAGGGGACCCACTCTTGGCTGGGCAGGCACAGTTAGATAAATAAGCAGATGGATTTAAGTAATTTTCTCATGTTCCCTATGATGAGCAGCCCTAAAAGACAGATTAATTTCCATAAATTCTGTGTGATAGATAAAATAAAGGTGTAATAACTCCCTCTGTAATGGTCCTTTGTACAGGGTCTTTTTGTTAGAATACAACATTCTTTCATGTAGACCATAAAACAAAGTGTCATTATCAGATCTTGGATCCCAGTGACTTAGATAATGCCATGATTGCTTCTTCTGAGTTGTATTCCTGATTTCAGGAGAAGCTGAAGCCAACTGAAGGGGAGTTAACCCATTCTTTCTGAAGTCAGTATAATATTTTGCATTTTTTTCTGTGGTTCACACCTTGGATAAGCTGTTTTCAACCCGTCTTGTTGCCTGGCAGCTCCATCCCAGACATCACTTCCATCCTGATCCATAATGAAAAGATTTCTTCCATGAAGATTTTCATCTAGGTTTCTGCAATTAGCAAGACTGGCAGGCACAGCAGCAGTACCTTCTGCGTGCATTTACCTTTCTTTTTCATTTGTTGCCTTGGTTGTATCCCACCTCCTTACAGTTACACAGTCCCCTTTCATCTGCTGCTTGAGATGTAGCAGGCATGAGGAACCCTTCAGTAAGCAGCTGCAAATTCCCTGTGATCATCAGTGAGGCTCTGTACCCTGTGAAATGAAAAAGTTACAGACCTGTTACAGTAGCCATTGCGTCGGAGGCTGCAGAAGATGATGACATCCCATCAAACAGCCTGATACGTTTTGCAAGGTACAGTGCCCTGTCAGCAACCACACGTAACTTTAAATAGTGATGTTTTAAACATGATCACTATCACATCCACTGATGACATCTAGAAGGTACAGTCTAGCCAAGATCCTAGTCAGTCTCTCCTCTGAATGATTCCTTTTCTCAGCATTTCACAGTTGAAAACATACAGGGAGACAGGAAGACATTTTTCTTGAAAACTATGTGTCATTTTTAATATTGCTTTATTAAGACTAGCAATTTTAACTCAAATCTTTTTCATCTCACTTACCAAGCTGTTAGTTCATCCCAACCAAATCCAAGGCAAACACAGATAAAACAGATAGGTATAATGGATGAGAAAATGGAAGAAGCTTCTGTTTATGGTCACCTTGTGATGTAGTTAGCAAGGAGCAACACAATAGTTCCTATTCTAAGCAGGAGAAAGAGGAAAGACTTTATGGCCTGTGGCATTTCTAGAGGACAAGACAGGCCAGTGGTGAAAATTCTGATGTTTTGGTAAGAAAAAAAAAAAAAAAAAAAGCTTCCTCACAGTCTACATGACAGAAATGGATAAAATTGGTGTCTGGTCCTCTCTATGATTTAATCCATGGAAGTTCCCCCATAGCACTCTGTCTAGAGAATAAGATAATATTATAACTAAGTATCTGATTAATACTAAAGCTTTTACCAGACTCCTGGTTTGTGGTGCCATGATCTTGGTCACATCACTCAAAGACTGGGCAGAATATCCATGTAACTTGTCATTTTGGATACTTTGATTTTTGAGAAACTTTATGGGAGGCTTGGTTTTCAGAGTGTGTTTTCTGTGCCCTCTTTGAAATTCTGAGGAGTTTCTTGGTTTCTACACAGGTACATGTTGCAAAATCCAGGCAAGGACAGGGCCAGTACACCTTGACATTGAGTAATTGCTGTAAAGAAGTTTGTTCAGGACAGTGCTGTTACACATCTTGTCTCCTGACATTTGCTGAGCATCTGTAGCTGTTACAGTCAAGAGAAATTAATCCATGGGAGAATGAAGTGGGGGTTTCTGACTCACACAGCATCCATGGAACAACTAATTAGGACTGAGTCATCGAGCTTTTACCTAAGAAGGTATGAAGAAAATGAGAACAGCTGCACTGTGTGTCACTGTATGGCACATCCTTCCCTTAAAATAGTTGTAAAAATGCACAGTTAAATTCTCTTACAGAGTCAGATCATCCCAAGAAGTTAACAGACTTCTCACAGGTAGACCTCACTCCCAAGAGGAAGACAATCTAAGGAGGAGCAGTTTCTTTGGCATTTCTTTTTCCCTATCAATTTTTGTGAAAGAGAATTGAAAAGGCAGAGAAGTAGGAAGAGGAACAAGAGAAAATACCAGTGATGCAGTGGAAGAAAAGAGAGAAAGGTAGAGATACAAGGCAAGCACTTGAAGTGTAACCTTCAGCATAGCTGAGCAAAAAGGAAATAGGCTGAAGAGTGAGCAGAAAGGCATGTGAAGGGCTGAACAAAGGCATTCCCAATTATCTGATTCCCATTTTATTCAAGTAAGGAGGACTTCATGTTTTCTGTGAATT